AGGACCTTGGTGCTAACCGGAGATTCAGGGCCAGACAGAACCTCATGAACTTGCATTGTATGCAGTTCTGATGAACACAGACAGCCGATGGTGGAACTGATTTATTATAAATACGGTTGACAGGGGATGCAACTTAATATAAGAGTAAAAGGACACAGAGACACACACCCCTTTATTCCTTGGGGAGACCCCCCTGTGTCCAGCTGGGTGTGGTTCCTGAGACCAGGGATGCCAGGGATGAGGTGCCCCTTTTTCCTACAGCCCAGGGGCTACCGTCTGTAGTTCAGCCTCCTAGTGAGGAAAGTGACAGAGAAGAAGGGAGAGAGGTCAGATGTTGCTATGTGATAAGTAGCAAGAACTCCTTCTCTGAACAGGTCAGTATGTCATCTCCTTGAAAAGACAAATTACTTACAGGTTTGTAATTTCAGAATGCTTGTGGGTGGTTTCTGGCTCCAGCGAAGCAGGTGGCCTTAAATTCATGAAATACTGTATAGATATGCTTATACAGTGGTGCCTTGACTTACAAACGCCCCTACTTACGATCATTTCAAGTTATGACCAGCTCCGGTCGCAAAATTTTGCTTCTACTTGCAACCTGAGCTTCCACTTATGAACAGAAAAAGGCAGGGGGGAAAGGCAGATAATTCAAATTTCTAACCATAGATGGAGACAAGGCTGCTTCTTTGTAGCTCTTTCGCCCCAGCAGTTAGAGAGTGTGCATCGTTGTCGGAGGCTTGGGACTGCCTCCTTTTGCTTCTGAGAGCGTGTGTGTATGTGTATGTGTGTGTTTGCAGGGAGGCTTCAGGCTGTCTTGTAAGGTAAGGTGCTGTTTTCTGCTTTTAAGAAACTGTTCTGGGTGTTTTTGCTAGTTTTGAGCTGGGGGGGTTATGTTTCTGTGCTATGATGGGTCTTGGGGGTTTGCTTGTGTAGTGATCTCCTCTGAATCCCCTATTCCCTCAGGCCTTCACGAGGTTCTCGCCCTTCTTGTTTCTTCACTGCCACCAGGTATTACTGCTTTAATACCACTTAATCATGGAGACTTGTGTGTTTTTAAAACTTAAGTCATTTATTAGATCAAGGAAGTTGTTATATGATTAATATTCATTAAGTAAATCACAGGTTGCTAATCACTAGTATTTGAATCAAAACTGCTATAACTTTAAACTTCTTTTAACTCTCTATTCAATTTATCGTCCTCACAGATCTCTATCTCACTCTTAGTTCCTTTTAAGTTTCACACTGTCTCTCACTACCAGAAACTCTCTCTCCGACTCCATACAACAGCCTTTATATCCAGCCCCTTCCCCCCTTGGCTCCGCCTTCCATCCTCTCATTGGTTCCTTCTCCACTGTTCAGCTGTGACGGACAGGTGAGGGCAGGGCTGTTTGCTACAGTTTGTTTTTGGGGTTCCCCCATTTCCGATGCATCTTGGGGGGGTTGGTTTTTTTATTCCCCCCCCCCATTTCCAATCTTGCACAATCTGCTTGATTGTTTTTTGCATTGTCTTGTTTGTACTTGCAATGGGTCTTGCACGCTTGATTGGTTTTTGGTTTGTTTTCTTTGCATCAGGTCTTCCATGCTTGATTGCTTTTTGCTTTGCCTTGTTTGCACTTGCAATGGGTCTTGCACACTTGAATGGTTTTTGGTTTGTTTTCTTTGCATTAGGTCTTCCACGCTTGATTGCTTTTTGCTTTTTTCTTGTTTGCATTTGCAATGGGTCTTCCACTGTTGATCGCTTTTCTCTCCCCTCCATTCAGCTGGAAGGGATTAATTGTGTTTCCAAATGGTCTTGCAGTGATTTTTTTTTGGGGTGGTGGTGATTTTTTTTCTTTAGCCGGAACGGATTAATTGCATTTCAGTGCATTGCAATGGGAAATGGTGCTTTGATTTACGACCATTTCAAGTTACGACCATCTTCCTGAACCAATTAAGTTCGTAAGGCAAGGCACCACTGTATCTGCACATTTCCTTTCCATCCAGTACAAAGCCCTAATAACTAAAATCCATTAAATATCTACCTTTTATATTGGTAGAGATGCCTCCTAGATGGACTGAAAAAAGACACTGATTCATGCCACCTGAAGAACAGAGGACTAGCTATTTCTAGAAAATGTATCTTAGCCTGTCAGATTAGCCATCATTTGGCCACTCATTTCCTGATTATGCAGTTTGGTTAATTCCGGTGTTTATCTGGGTCAATGTTTATGTCCCAGTAGGAGGATTTGTGTGCTTGGGACAAGGAAGTAAATGGATGTTGCGTTTTTCATTCTTGTTCCCACATTTGGGTGATTTCATCCTGGTTAAACACCCTGAGGGTAGGAGCAGTAGTCCAAATTTCACATAGCCCACACATTAAATTGCATGTCAAAGAAGATTCTCCGGGGCCTGTTAGCTTTGAGAATGTGCAAAAGTGCTGTATTCAGAACCTTCCTACTTCTAGAAATAAGAAGGTGCCTCCATAGCACTGTGACACATCCCTAGACCAAATTCTGGTCCCCGATGAATAATAACATGCACTCCTCATAGGGCAGTTATGAAGATAAAGTAGGAAGGAGAATCACCATACAGCTTTGAGTTCATTAGGGGAAAGGTGAAACACAAATGTAAATAATAAACAAACAAACATTTTAAGGCGTCAAGCAGCACTTCAGACAAGTCTGTTCAGAACTAATCACTTAGTAAATGTATTTATTCTGTGAGTAGATAAATAAATACCACCATGGTGGGAAGGTAATGGCATTCCATGTCTAGTTGCGCTGGCCATGTAACCACAGAAACTGTCTACGGACAAACACTGGCTCTACGTCTTGAAGACGGGGATGAGCACCACGCCCTAGAGTCAGACACGACTGGACTAAATATCAAGGGGAACCTTTACCTTTACCTAAATATATTTATTAGAGAAACTATCAAAAGAGAAATATTAAAACACTGTGTTGGTTGTGGGGCCTCCCAGCAAGTAGACACAGCACAGGAACTTTTGGTTGACACAGATCAGTTCCTCTGTGAGTTTCTTGAATACAAGGAACATCACATTTCTGTTTGTGGCACTATCATACTTCATAAAATCCGAAGGTGTCCATAACAATAGGAGGTCTGTACATGAGCATTGTGGCCAGTCCAAGAGCATTCCATGTTTCACTGTGCCCTCATTCAATCATGCATGCATCTGTTTCTGCTGCACACACTTCTAATTGGGATTGTGTATTTGCCAGAACAGACAGACATACAGTGGTGCCTCGCTTAGCAAGCGCATCGTATAACGACGAATCCGTATAGTGATCCCCTTTTTCGGGATCGCTATACGGAGCACCCAATCGCCGCACTCACATTGCGACGATTGGGGAGTCCGGCGGCCATTTTGGAGCCGCGTTCGGCGGCTTCAAAATGGGCGCCAGATGACCCGAAATGGCCCCGCGCGGTGTTTTCGCGCCCTCGGCAAGCGAGGGGAGGGCGCGAAAATGCGGCGCGGGGCCATTTCGGGTCCGTTTTGAAGCCGCAAAACAGCTGTTTTGCAGCTTCAAAACGGCCGCGGATGACCCGAAATGGCCCCGCACCGCGTTTTTGCGCCCTCCCCTCGCTTGCCAAGGGCGCGAAAATGGCTGCCCGGGGCCAGGAAACTTCTCTAAGTGGGAAGTTTAGGGCCGATTTGGAACGCATTAAATGAAGTTTAATGCGTTCCAATGGCTTTTTACTTCCCGCTTAGCGAAGATTTCACATAGCGAAGGTTAATCCGGAACGGATTAACCTCGCTATGCGGGGCACCACTGTATAAGAACTATTCAGATGTTATCTATTTATTGTATGTATGTTTGCCATATATAGAAAAGAGCAGATTATCCCAGCCCCTTTGATCATCACTTTCATTGCCTTTGTATACAGCTGCAGAGAAAAAGCTCCACTCTCCACAGGGCTGCCCAACGCATATGGAAAATACCCTATGGATAGCTGTGCTCTCTTTCTTTGCGTTTGTCATCATTTTTAAAATTTATTTAAAATATTTCTACCCTGCCCTTCTCCTTGAAAAGGACCCAAGGTGGCCTACAACAGTAAAAGACAACATGTAAAGCTGAAAACAATGAGTAAATGGGCATCTTACATCATTAAAAGCTAAGAGCAACAAGTATACACTTTTAAAAACAGCAAACCAACCAACCAATGCCACTCTGAGAAATGGAAAACACAAAAATGGAAAACACAAGTAGTACTAAAAATTCAGTAATGCATAACGATGCAGCTAAAAAAATCACACACAGGTAGCTAGTTACTGAGGGAAGGCTTGCCTGAAGAGAAAGGTCCTTGCCTGCTTGCAGAAAGACAGCCTGGTCTCCTGTCGGAGGGAGTTCCAAAGTCTGGGGGCAGCAACAGAGAAAGCCCTCTCCTGTGTCCCCATCATCTTCATGTAAGAGGGCAATAAAACAGGGACAGGGAGCAGAGTAGAGCTCTCCCCTCTACACGTGGTGCACATAAGCAAATAGATCAGTTCTGAAGAGAACTATATTCTTGAAACAACTTATTCTAGGAAAAAGTATCATCACCCCTACTTTGAATTTAGAGTTGCAAAGTCAGCACCACCACATTCTCTGAGATATCAGGTCAAAACATAGGAATTAAAGGATGGGTTCTTGCGCAAGGAGTAAAAAATAAGTACTGTATACACCTGTATTCATGAATGGAGTTCTTGCATTACCTCCTAAACAAACTCTTGCCAACATCCTACTAGTTGTTAGGGATGTGTCATCCTTTAAAAAACAAAAACAAAAAAATAAAAATAAAAACATTTTTATGTCAACTCCCCAAATTCAGTTCCTGAAACAGACTTCTGGGAATTCCGGCCCACAGATACCCAGCCCAATTGCTTGACAGAAGCTGGATTGGGAAATAGATTTGTAATAACATAATTGCTAGTTCTTATTTGAAAATGCCATGAAGTCTCCGCCCTCTGAGTTTTTAAAAGCACAGCTCCTTTGTGGTAAAGCTTTTGTCTATCTGCTGCCAGGATGGGAGAAACTAGTAAAGCAAGAAGCTCCAAGAATGTGCATCTCTCCTTGTTGAATCTCCTTTTTCTCCTCCTTCTCCAATCCACAGCAGGGCGAGAGCTGAAGTTTGTGCTTTTAGTAAGTAAATGAAAAGAGATGTTTTCAGTCTAACAATTTTGCTGAGGGGGTTCTTCCAGAAAACATTCTTTATGTGGAACAGTTAATAAAACTCATGTATAATCTACCAGTCAGAATTTTACCACTGTTTCCTTTCCTTTGATAAGACTGAGTTCTTTGATCTCATATTTTGACTGTTCTGCTTTGTACTTTGTAAAATATTTTAAAAATATTTAAAAAAAACACAAAAAGAAAGCAGAAAGGTTGTTCTTTTAATTTTATGTGTTTACATGATAGGAGTTCTATGTAATCTCACCCTTTTTAATGACTGTTGTGTAATTTGTTTACAGCCTTTGAGAGCTATAATGCTTCACCACCAAGAATACAGACAATTAAAGAAAAAAATGATTATGAAATGCTTCACACTTTGGGGTGTAATGCACTCCTCTGCTGTCTATGACTAACATCACCATATTTCAGATGTCCAAATCTGAGCAGCCTAATTTGCATAGTATCAGCAGTCTTAGTTACATGATCTCGTAAGCTGCATATTATGGACACGAATATGAATATTTCCATGTTCTGCAGCTAAATCTCTCCTTTTTTGTATCATTTTCTACTTGTATATTTCAATCTTGGCATCATTTTTATATATATATATATAAAAAATGTCAGTGGTTTGGGGAACTCCCTCTCTCACCACAAAGAATTCGGTTCACAGTCTGGGGGTCCATCTTGACCCAGCGCTTACCATGGAGACCCAAGTAGCGTCCGTGGTTCGGTCTGCCCACTTACATCTTTGGTGGATTGCCCAGCTGCATCCCTATCTAGACATGGGGGCACTCACCACGCTGGTCCATACGCTATAGTCTCAAGAATAGACTATTGTAACACTCTCTATGTGGGACTTCGTTTGAGACTGATGAGGAAGCTTCAGATAGTCCAGAACATGGCAGCCAGACTATTAACGGGGGTGAAAAGATTTCATCATATTTCTCCCACTTTGACCGCCTTACACTGGCTACCTCTCTGCTTCTGCATTGATTTCAAGGTGTTAACCATTACATATAAAGCCCTTAATAGTTTAGGACTTTGATACCTGGCAGAGTGCCTTCTTCCGCCCAGTTCTACCCATATCACCTGCTCCAGTCAGGCCAGGCGGCTGAGGGGCCTAACACCAAGAGAGGCCCGGTGAGAAAAAACCAGAAATTGGGCCTTCTTGGCAACTTACCTGTTAAGATCCACCTGGCTCCGTCACTGAGGGCCTTCAAGACTAACTTGAAGACATGGCTATCCAGGCAGGCCTTCCTTACAGCCACTACCTAGCCTATCTCCCCTTTTCTTCTTTTTCTTTTTTCTCCTTCTTCTTCTTCCTCTTCTTCCCCCCCCTTTCTTTTTTCCTTTCCCATCTTGGATTAATCTGGATTTTATCTTAGTTTATTTTTATATTATATTATATTATATTATATTATATTATATTATATTATATTATATTATATTATATTATATTATATTATATTATATTATATTATATTATATTATATTATATTATATTATATTATATTATATTATATTATATTATATTATATTATATTATATTATATTATATTATATTATATTATATTATATTATATTATATTATATTATATTATATTATATTATATTATATTATATTATATTATATTATATTATATTATATTATATTATATTATATTATATTATATTTTATTTATTTATTTATTTATTTATTTATTTATTTATTTATTTATTTATTTATTTATT